CAAAAAATGACAGAAAATTATGGATTTAAATCAGTTATCATATATAAATGCTTTAGTTGCCTGCAGATTTTTTTCTTGATTCTTCTAGAACAAATACTGTTTAATATATATTTTATGTTGATAAGTTTTAATGTGGTTGTAGATTTTCTTATAGAGAAATTCAAATTTGCTGTTTTTTTTAAGGCAAAATAAACCTCCAAAAACTAGTTTTTTTATTAAAAGGTGAAGAGAATTTCAATAATCAACAGTTGTTAAAATAGAGTATATCTATATAAATAAAATAATGATTTAAAAAGCTTTTTTAATGACTAGCAGTAAAAAATGTATTTGTTTAACCATAACTTCAAGTGCCATGATAAAGTACAAAACACGCTATTTGAAAGGCGCGTGGTTTCCATAGAATGCGAAAAATTATTTTTTGCTTGCCTTTTTCTATCATACCCTTTGTTCTGAAAATTTATATATGAGTTTTAACCAAATCTGTTTCTATGGCACTTTCCACATTTTTTAACTAAATGCTCGATGCTTGCTGATTTTGACTCTTAAATATACTCAAAAAATTTTTCTTAGCTGTAATTTGTATTGAAACATTTGAAGCAGGGCTTCTATTTCTATTTGAAATTCAAATTTGGCAGCAGAGGGCGTGTCTTAGTTTTGTAATTGTTTACACCGGATGTTGTGTTATCATGTAGGCATGGCGGTGTAGTGTATTTGGGGGGTGTTTTTAATTTGTAATTGGGTTCGGGCTCGGGAGCCCATTTTCTCTCTCTCTCTTCCCGCGTTTCCGCCAAGCTGGGTACAGGCCATGTTTTTCAGAACTCCTTGATTTTGTAATATGTCCAATCAATTGTTTATAATCAATATATTATTTTTATCCAAAGTGATTTGATTGTCTTTATATAATTTTAGCGGCAAGAAAGCCAGTGCTGCAGTGTTCGACTTACTTTCATTTCTAGATAAATCCAACCTCCAAAAGATAAAATCAATAATTCAGATTTTTTTTTAACTCTGTATTGAAATGAGAATAATTAATAAAATTTAAAATCCTCACAACATTTACACAAAATACAAATAGCAAGTCCAAACAGTCCAAAATATCCAAACAAAAAAGATAAAACATGTCAATGTGATGGTCAACCATAAAAATTATTTCCACAAATGACCCATGTATTGAACATCTTTGGATTAGGTAGCCATGTTCTCACAAGGTTTAATACACATGTTGGCATTATGTCACGTCTGTGCCACTCCTGTCCTGGTTGATATAATGTTCCAACACTCGCATTTTTTTCTCAGCATATCGGGGATCACTCCATACTCCACGATGTAAAAGCATTGTCCAAAACCTTTTGTACTTCTCATTGCGTAATTTGGAATTCCTGGGATAGGGCAGTCTGAAGGGTTCCACTTTCCACCATAATTGTCTGTTGATGTCGTCCGTGATGCAGGGCTTGCAGTGACAGAATGGACATTCCTCTCTGTTAATGTCTTGAAGAATGAAAAAATTTTCTTCACCACCATCATTATTATCACTGCACTCTGCTCCCAAAAGTCCAGTATCTACAGATAATGCTACATCTGTCTTCACCTCTTTGTCAACACATTCTAATTTTACACACGTGTTCCCGCCAAATTTCTCTTCCTGTGATGAGTCAAGAGGCTGAAAATCCCAGTCGCTATGCAGATAGAAATGTTTTATGGCTTCCATTTGCATTTCACTCACATCCAAAATTAATCTCTGTCTTTCCCCCATTTTGCTTACAAAATAAAATAACACATCGATGGACTCTAACTGATTACAGTGTAGGTACTAATTGATGCTGCTGTATGAAGTCTACTCTAAACCCCCCCTCCCCCCCACATGATTAAATAGGTGATAAGAGATTGGTTTATTACCTTATGCAATTTTGTTGCAGGGCCAAACAAAGGAGAATTTTATTTATATGAATATTTTTTTTTATTTTTACTTTGTGGCTGATTTAAAAAATATATATATATTACTTTAAAATTAAAAATTAGATAATTAATTGTTTTCTTCAAAATTCACAATATTTGTGAGGGATAACACTTAATTATTTCTATTTTTATTACCTGTAACATGTACTCTCCTCCCTTTTCCCCCCCCCCAAAAAAAAACCCACAGCCAATTTAGGATGGTACTGTATTACTGACAATCAATATATATCTATACAATTTTGCTCAGAAATATCAGAAATCTTGTATCGAATCGTAAGAAATCATGGCAAAAAACGAAGAATCATCAAAGAAACGTCCACCAAATTTTAGGCTTGAAATTCCAGGTGATGGGGAATTTAGAAGTAAAATTCAAGGAAAACTGCAAAAGGTGAAATCATTTCTCACTTCTAAGAACAATGCACCTGTAAACACAGCATGAGTAATTGAGGAACTTTTGGACTTCTGGTTAAAAAAGCACTTGGAAGACCAAAGTGTCGAGGAGGATCAAATACAATTTCCATCAACATATTTGCAAGTCAGGAAGAAGGATGTTAATCAGAAAATGTTTGTTTGTGCAGATTCATCACTTCTAAATATATGTGAACTTTGTGAAGCTCATACAAAAACCCTCAGTGGAAAATTATTTTTTTTAAAGAAAACCATGAAAGGACATGTTCTATCTTTGCGCCTTCAATGTACCAAGGAAAAAATGCACAGTTATTCCTGGTCATCTTCACCATATCTACCTAATGATGAATATCTTGTCAACCACAGAATAGGTCATGGCCTCATGTGTAGTGGAATGCTACCATCTCATTACACAAGGTTTTCCAATGGAAGTGGAATAGGGTGCTACTAGGCCAGAAGGAAACAATTTTTTGATGCTTATAAAAATTCTGTCGAGGCTGAATATACAGATTCCATCCAAGAAGGTCTACATGAAGACTTGGATGGCATCAATATTTTAACAGATGCTAGACATGGATGGCGTAAAAGCGCTAAAGACACATCTGTAGTGGCCATTGGTGAGAAATGTAACAAAGTTCTGGATTGTGTACATGTAACAAAACAGCAAGACCCAGTTTCTCAACGACACGAAAGAATTGGTACAGGGAAAATTTATGAAAATTTCACCTCCCAAGATGTCACCATTAACAAATTTATTAAGGACACAGAAGAAACAATAAATCAGATGATTTATGGCATTCGATAAAGGCATTAAAGAAATCACTAAAAAATATATCCAGTGGTAGTAAGAAGTCTGAGGGTTTTACATGGAGTGAGCAGCTAGTGGACAGAACTGAACCTATTGCCACTCATATTCATTGGGCTGTTCGGCATTGTGATGGAAACCCCCAAAAGCTACGAGAGTGCATAGAGAATGTAATTCCTCACTACGAAAATTCACATGAAAAGTGTCACCCAGAGTCACGACGCAGAAAAGATGAAAATTATGAGCCTTCACGAGTTGTATTAACCAGTAAAATTGCAAAAAAAATTTTTAGAAAATACACTTAAAGCATCTGTAATCTACAAATATCCTGAAGATTATATTTTGGGAAAAGATATCTTCTATGTAGAGAGTTTCAATAATGTAATGAACATATTCCAGGACAAGAGAATTGTTTTTGGAGAAGACCAATATAAACTTAAATCAAACCTTGCTGTGTGCCACTGGAATGAAAATGTTGACCGGGAGCATACCTCTGTATATCATTCAAGAAACCCCAATGCACCACGTAACCAGAAAGGGAAAAAAGTGTATAAAAAACCTAACATTTCAATAAAGAGATAATATCTGGTGTAAATATGTAGGAAGCCTTTATTGAAATGGACTGCAAAAATATTGAGCCAAGATTATTGTGTACATTTTGAGGATTAATAATTGTAAATAAGTAGGGATGTCAAAATTGTCAATAACTGATATTCGAATATTCGATAGTACTATTCGAATATATTCGAATATCCGATAAAATAAATACATCTTGCATTATAATATGTATACATCTTCACTCTTTTGTCAAGCAATACATACGTTTTATGTCATTATTTTGGAATAAAATTTCATGTAGAGTTTTGTAAATGCACTTTAATAATATTCTTAAAATATTTTACAAAATATATGGAGAGTTTATATCCAAAACTTAATAAAATAATTTTCCCCCGAAAATTCAAAAGATTCTTTTAAGAAGTTCCAGATTAATTAATCATCTTACCAAAGTGTACACTGATAACCCTGCAGATTTATACCGCACAAAACAATTATCTAATGGAGAGACATTAAAAGCAATTACCTTTAGTTAATTAATTTCCTGATAATGATTTTTAATGATGTATACATAAACAAAATGTGTCCTTTTAACAATACAAACTAATTCTAAGTACTGGACACTGTTATACCTCTAATTAAATCATCAAATGAATAATTTATATTATTTTAATAGACACACTCTTCACACCTTAAAGGTAATCCAAGAAGAGTGTCTTTTAATTTTTTTTTAAATAAAATCTTATTATTGGTCAACGATGAGAATTTGATTGAATTTCTGATAAAACTTCAGTTTTTGTCAGATTTTCTGATGCTTGTATTCTTAAAATCCGAATATTCGAATCATGAATTTATATTCGAATATCAACTCTTCGAATGAATATTCGAATATTCGTTAAGATTTTTATTTTAATTAAAAGTGTTAACTAATTAAATCGCCGATAACCGGTCAATAAATCAGCAGTACTAGTATGTGCTGTAAATCCTGCTTTGTATAATTATCTCTGAGAATCATTAGAGCTGTTTAGCCAGGTATAAACACATGTGCTATCTTCTGTTATCATTTGCTGGAGTTTATTTTAACTTGGCTGCAGCAGTAAGCGCCGCCCTACACCAAATTTGCTTAATTGCACTACCACCGGATTTTCAGGTAGGTCGAGCTTGGCCTTTAAAGTATTAATTGCATCATGTATGATTATGGCAGGTAAATAAACATATATGAAAATATCATCGAGTTGATCAAGACCTGATTACAGGTTGGTATATTGTTTATATTTGATATCTTTATGAATGAATTGTTAATCATATTGTCTGTAGGTATGACAGAATGTATTTCGGTAGTTTGATATCGTATTCATGGATTCAAAATCTTAATCTCGGTCTAACAGTCCATTATTTACATCTACTCACCCTAAATCAGTTTGTTGTTAATGGCTTTATTTAGGGGGATTGTACGCAATACATGTGACAGTGTATTATTAAGTAACAATTTTTTTGACTTCACAACATAAGAGCAGAGAAATCAAGTGAACTGAGACTGACACAATAAAAAATGAAATCTTGGTTTATAACACAGGCATTACGTTTCATAGAATCAAGAAAACGAAGGAAATATCTGATAGTTAAATTACAAATAAGGAACAAGGAATGAAAGCTCTGACATCCAAATTTTTAGAATATGTATATTTTATATTTGAGAGATGAAACATGCAAACAAATCTTTCAAACGAATCCGATAGATTGCAGATTAAAACATAAAAGCATTTGAAATTTGCTTACAAAGGCTATTTTGCCTAGATATAATTTATGAATGGATCCCTGATGAAGGCAGGGACTTTGATTTACACCAATACTAAACCAAGCCGCCAAAACAGAAAACACTCGAAAGGGACGTTGAACAACATACAAACAATCATCAATCAAATATCGAAAAGGACGAGTTTTATGAAGTACGTGTATATGTACATGTACCTTCAAATTTAGGAGAGCACATTGACTGCATTTTGCTTATCATTTGTGTACTTAATCGGCGTGTTTCTTATCGTAACGTGACCGTTAGGTAACAGGTGAAGAACAATGTCGATGTATTCAATCTGCTGTCTATGTACAATGTTATATATTGCAAGAAAACTCTGTTTAAAGCAACATGTTTGTCTTTACAGTTTTATTGTTGTCGGTGTCTTCAGCTGTCAGTGTCAATCCTTGGGGTTGTACAACTGACTCTCTTTCTGATTTAGAAAGACGATTCAATAATTTGGAACAAAGGCTGGAAGTGCAAGAAAAGCTTAATACTGAGCAAGAAAAAGTCATTGAAATATCGAAAGTTAAAAATAAAAAATTAGAAGAAGCTGTGCAGACTTTCACTGCTACGATGGAAAATAAGGAAAAAAACGATAACAGACCAAAATTTGCGCTTGGAAGTAAAACAACTATGCAAAACAAAACAGCAACAGACTTTGGATTGAATTCATCGAACTCGGAACGAAGTCCATCGATATCTGATGCGCCTTCTAGTAAAATTAATTGTTGTGAAGAAGAGTTGTTGAACTTAAAGTACAAAATTCGTAAAGGGAGATCCATTACAGGTATGCTTCATGATGAAAGAACATCTAAAGATTATTAAAATATTTATGTACTGTAGTATCTGCATTTATAATAAAGAGAAAATAGTTATTTCATGTACTTTGGAGTTAACTGTCTTTTTATTCATAAAGGTGGAGTTGCATTCCACTCGTACTTGTCACATAATGAAGTTAATCCAGGGAGTCACCAAACAATCATTTTTGACAACGTTATTACAAATATTGGTGGGAACTATAATCAACACTCAGGAGACTTCATTTGCCCAGAGGATGGGGTGTACACGTTTTTTTGGACATTGTTTTGCTCTCGTGGTGGATATGTCTATTCCCAAATCGTTGTGAATTCGAATTCGGTCGGAGCCTTGTTTTGTAGTGGCCAAGGAGCAGACGAAATAAGGGCAACAACAGGTGTTGTCGTTGTAGAGATAAACTTGGGCGATGTCGTGTATATTAGGACACATCCTACTAACGGCATAGCCGGAATTATTTACAGCCATCCTACTTACCGATCATCATTTAGTGGATGGAAACTGTTTTAAATTAATTGAAATCAAAAAGAAATGTAATCATGCATTAGGTACTGTTATTCTTTGCAACAAGCTGCTTCAAGCAATTTACAATAAAAGAAACAGAATCTCTGCAACAGTTTATTGTTTTATCTCCTTATGTGTTTGTATGACGTTAAACGTTAATGTTTACCGCTGAAATGTCTTTTTAAAATATTTTGGAGAACAAATGGGTATGTTAAATGCTAAAATTAGGACATACATACTCACTGGGATATATTGAGTCGTATATTGAATAAAAGAAACAATCTGAAAAGGTTTAGAGTTATTCCCATTTGGTTAATTGCTGTAATCAGCGAATCATTGTAAATATTGTTCTGGACAAGCCTTCACCAGAGCAAGAGTACCTTACATATACTTGCAAAGTAGCAAATCGGTACAGATCTCTTCACAGGCAACTTAGCAACATATGATTCACATATGAGTATCATATGATTCTCATATGATTGGTTTCATATGAGAATCATAAAAAAGGGCATCATATATGAATCATATAATCTACATATGTTAATCATATGAAAATAAATTCATATGATTTGCATATGAATGGTTTATGTGTTTGTCAAGCCATTTGCATGTGTGAATCATATGAAAAGGGTATCATATGTCAATCATATGAAACAGTTATGTGTGTTCTCTTTCATTATTTTTCACATTCTTGTACACATTTAAAAATTAGATATTTCTGCTTTAGATGAAAATTCATTACATTACAATGATCTTTTCTTCATTGGTTAAATATTTTAAAATATCTGATAATGCTTACACAACTTTTTTGTTAAAATTATTTTTTCATCAAGAGAAATAAATTATTTTTCACAGTGTACATTCTAAACAAGAAAATACACAAATAAGTCTGTAGCATTTGTTGATACATATATTTAACATATTCTAAAATGAGTATAAATTATAAGATTTCAGCAAAATGATTAAGTAGTTAAACATGTATACATATACAAATGAATAACATGATTGGGTCATGTACTTGTACAAAAATACTATATGACATGAAAGTGTCCACAGCAAAATTGAAACATCAGCAATAACATTTGCCATGTATTTTCTATTGTAAATTTATGAAAAATCAAGTTATTGGATGTTTCAGAATACAAATAAGAATGGGAAATCTTTACAGGTCAAATTCAGACAAGATTGTGTACATCCTCTCCATTTCATTATTATTCCATATATTTCCTATTCCTTTTCCTTCTGCATCTTCCAATATTTTCAGTTGTCCTCCCGTTGATATGACCATTTTGAAAATCTTTTTGAACTGTACCAAAAATGCAAATCCACCAGTTCTCCCCTTCCTGAACAATTTCTTTGTGGCACAGAATGGTCTCTACAAAAATTTCAAAAATAAAAAAAACCGATTCTTAAATTTCGAAATCAATTTTACAACTTATATTAAAGTATCCTTAATATCATCAGCAAACAATCAATTCCCAATTCACCGACACAGATATGATACGAGATAAAACTAATATTATATATATGTTATACTAGGTGTTTTGTGGAATCCTATGATGTAAATTTCAAGACAATTACACTGTTGGAAGATATTGCTTCATATTATAATCATAAAAAGCTATATTTTTTTATTTTGACAATTGAATTTGGAATGTTCAAATAGTATATATTAATTCAAATTGCCAAAATTTAAGAAGATTTTGACATAAATAAATTTATATTACTTTTGGACACAAAAAACTACAGATAAGCAGATAGACAGAAAAAACAGACTTAGTTTGTGATTCCAGGATATCCTAGACTTTGTTGGGAAGATTATAACAAAGTCTATTAAACTGTGTGTAGTTACCTTAACTTTGCATCAAGCCTTGGATCTTTGGAATTTTTCTTATGAGAGGCTGACTGTTTATTGAACCTGTAAAACAAATAGTCATAGTAGATATTTTCTAAGTATTTTAAACTAAAACTTAAACTACAAAAAGAGAGATAACAAGTTAGTAGGTTCTCAGTTGTCTTATAAATATCTTACAATTGAGACTAGGTTATCTAGTGTTGGAAAAAAGTTTATAAATGTCAATCAATCATACATAGATGTAAATATTCAATGGATTATCTATCTGATGTACTTTCAACACATAGTCACATGCACATGTACTTGTACCTTGAAAGTTGCCAAATTCATTATTAATTTTTTGCTGAAATTCAAAAATTCAATTTACCCCCTGAAGTTATTGTATCTAGTTTCATAGCTTTTAAAGCAAGAAAATTAAAATCATACTTACGTATACCATATTGAAAAAAAGTGCCTTGGATTAAAAGTGTTTTATAATGTAGAATAAAACTTCTATATTATTGAATTGAATTCAGTTTTGATGAAGCCGTGCAAACAATGTAGAATTATAAAGGACCAAAAGAAATTATCAAGAAAAAATTTGTCATAAAGGAGTCATTACAGATATACACTTTAATTTTTATTGCAATATTTTTTTCCTTTAATATTGTGATGATGCAATTGTCTGTCAGAATCAGCTTTAGGATCAATAAGCTTTGAGTCTTATAAGCTTTGAGATTCTTGGACTTCATAAAAAGCAGCACTGAACTCAAGTTGTTGAATGCATCTATAAGCCATAAAACAAACATTTGTCATAAAGTTGATGAAAGAATCGACTTGATAACGATCTCAACATACAAACCGCCAACTGCTATACAGGATTTCTACTTTCACTTTCAAATCAGTACGGCCCCGTGGGGATCCGGGTTAGAATAGGTCCTCAGTACCCCCTTGCTTGTCGTGAAAAGCTACTAAATGGGGCGGTCCTTCGGATGAGACCGTAAAAACTGAGGCCCCGTGTCGCAGCGGGTGTGGCACGATTAAGATCCCTCACTGCTCAAAGGCCGTAAGTGCCGAGCATAGGCCTAAATTTGCGGCCTTTCACCGGCAATGGTGACGTCTCCATATCAGTGAAATATTCTGGAGAGGGACGTTAAACGGTATACAATAAATCAATCAATCAAATCAGTACGTAACAAAAGTCAAAGCAAAAAGAAAACAAAATAATGCCTTTTGCCTAACATGTAAATTGTAATGTTTACATATTCATTCAGAAACAAATTTAACCAAAATTACTTACAGATCACTAACATTACGTACAATAGGATTGCGAAATGCACAAGTGATGAGAGTATTATAGAAATAATTTCATACGAACCTGTAACCGTAATGAAAGGATATTAAAACAATAAGAATTAACCTAGAGATCTTTATAAAAACGTTAGAAAATAACTTATTTATTTATTAATATTGTATGAGAAATGCATTATTAAAAAAAATTTACTATTGATATATTTATTGAAATTATACCAAGGGCAAACTGGTGATCACTGTTTCATATGATTCTCATATGATCACTGTTTCATATGAATCTCATATGATCACTGTCAAAATATTCAGATGATTTTTATCAGTTTAACAAGGGCAACTTAGTGAATTTGGTTTCATATGATTCTCATATGATCAGTTTCATATGATTCTCCAATGACAACGGTCAAAATATACTTATGATTCTCATATACAGGGCCTTTCATATGAGAATCATATGTAAATATAATCGCATGATATACATATGAGTAATCATATGATCCTCATATGATTAGCCACATATGATTATCACATGCTTGTATATACATATGATGATCATATGATCCACATATGATCCTCATATTAAAGGCAATGCATATGTGAATCATATGTGGCTAAATTGCCTATGTTACGACATGATTAAAAAGAATTCAAAAGTGGTTGCGCTGAAAATAACTACCAAAGTACTGTGAAATCACAAATTTTCGTACATAATTGCTCAACAATTCTTCATTGACGAATTTCAAATCCCAAGTGAGCAAGAGATTTTATTCAAACCACTAAAATTTGACCCCACGAAAATATGCGATTTAACAGTAATCAAAACAAACTTTTTTGACATTGTATAAGCATTTTATCAAAAAATATATTCCATCTATAGACGGAAGTTCACTTAATTTCCCCATTAAATTGACACGCCACGTTACCATTCAGAACTCTCGGATATTTGTCAATACAGGGAACACATTCTTGCGTTAAATTGGGTCCGCACAACAATATCATTTTAAAGATGGAAGTTTCTATCTGTATCTATTTACTATGTGTTGTGATTTCTAATTTGTTTGAAGCCTTGTTCTGCAGTGGTCAATGAGCAGAGGCGGATGTTCAATGGGGAGGGGTGTTGGCACAAAGGGTACATGTAGAAAGGGGAGGATAATGGGATTTGTCCCGATCCCTTGGCAGGGAGGGGGGTGTGTGGGTTGGACTGGAAAATCTTCTGGAAAATGATGTCTAATCTGATAATTTTAAGATTCCTGAGTATTTGCCATGTCTTTATTTTATGCATCGTCAATTGGTCGTACGTCAAGGTCTGAATTCCACGATACAACAGATATGCAATTTTTGACACTTTAAAATTAATTGACTTCCTTGTAATTTCGAAAATATGTGTACTAGCGGATCATAAAAACAATGTATATGATGCTGATATTCAAACCGAGCTGAATAAATCATATACATTGGGATTTAAACACAGCGTAAAGGAAAAAAATATGGCTGTCTGGATTGGTATATATTTATCAACCTTTCTGGTGATAAACTATGAGACTAGTAAATTAAAAAATATCTATAATTTGATTAATTTCAATGTTCAATGTTCAAAATTCAATCTGTCTAAAGCCAAACTTATTTGTCTTTTGAAATTATACCTTTTTTGTCACTAAAAATCAACAAATTAAAATTCTTGCAGTTAAACTTATTCATTTAAGTCATACAAATACTAATAAAATTTACATGTAGGCTTTTATTTTTAGGATTTTTATAAAAGTTTCTTTATGTCATCTGTCTTTAAAAACTAATCGGGCGATCAAACAGGATCTAGGGAATTAAATTTCGTGAACAGATGTGTCTACTAAGGATCAGCTTACCATAACAAGCACAATACCATCTGGATAATCTCCGTTATGTAAAAGCATGTTA